GGTGGTAGGAGGGGGGAGGGGGAGTACTAGTTTTAATCTTGTTTTTGTAAATAATTGGTAGATATTGTTTGTATATTATCTCAATCATGTTTTATTTTGAATATCATTGCACCAGAAAACAACGATAGGGTGATATTTAGCTTTAGCAAAAAAAATAATAAATAAATAAAAAGCTTCCCTCCTTCACCACTTTTCCAGCCTAGATACGGTGATAAACTAATATTTTTATAGGGCCTTATATTCTTCAAGATTAAAATGATTAGCGACACAAAAGAATATCTTTATATAGATGCTGTGCTACCATGCAATCTTCTAAAGTTATTCTAAGTACAATGATTATCAAATCAAAAGAATATAAAGGTAGGCCAGTACATGTGTGTTTATAATTTTATGGTCTAAGGATCATCTAATAACGAAAATCATGACAAAAGATTGTACTTGTTGACATATTTGACCCTGTAATGTTATCATTTAAGACAAATACCGTACTTTCTCGGGGTGCGGCGAGTCTGCAGTGGTGGCGTTAGAGGGGTTGCGGCAGCGGACCCTCCACCGTCCCACCTGAATGCACGAAAAAAATCCCTCTCAGACTGTAAAGGCTCTTTAAAGGTAATTTCCCACAAATTTAACTGGCTTCATCCCTGACGTGTGAGTGATTATTTTTTTCGTGCATTCAGGTGTGCTATTTGTTATTATGGTGGTACTGAGGTGGGGTTGGTTTGCTTCACTGTCGGGAAACACTGTGCCACCACTGCGTTTATGATATTCCAAACACGACACACCCCGACCCGAAGCAAAGCATGGAGTTTAAAATAATTATAACTCCATGCACAGGGCAAAGGGCATAGTGATGAATGGAGTAGGCCTACTTCTATTAGAACTTGGAAAGGAAAATAAGATGCGTGTTAGGTTTGTGAGCTGTATTTTAAGCATCTTTACATCGTATACGGTACGTTAAACGTGAATAAAGTGAATGATGTTGATGTACCTGATTTCATCGTGTTCAGGATCGTACTCGGATACCATAACTGTACACGCACCACATCCGCCCTCTGCACAGCCCCACTTGGAGCCAGTAAGTCGCACTTTTGAAAACTTGGTTAAAGAAGGTTTAGATTATCTTAAGAGGAGACATGTATGCAACCGAGAAAAGGTGATTGCTGTATGCAATGAGGTATACGTCGGGGAGGGCTCGCCCTCAGGACCACTTTCGAAGTCTTTTAATCGAAGCTGGACCACGCCCACTTTGCTTTCGTCGGGGAAATCTGACTCCTCGTCGGGGCGTCGCCCCTCCCCCGTCGGGGCATCCCCCAGTCGGGGAACTCTCCCCCACACCCGTCGGGCAAATCCTGGCGCCACTCCTGCTTACAAATGCTCATCACTTCCACATCATTCATAAACTTATGGAACATACGTTAATAATTTTGCATTGTAATAATCAGACTGGTTCCCAGCAGACATCAAAATAGGTGGATACTAAGTCAAATTTTAACTATTCTTTTCTATTCATGGACGGCTAATATATTATTCCTCTAAGGGCTACTAATTGACACCTTAGCTGTTGATGCGATCATGGTTATCTTCGCAAAGTAAGGTCAAGGCCTATTATTCTGTAATAAATTGTAAGCTTCCTACCTGCATTGGTCTGATTTGAAAGGTATCACACTGACAACAGGATGTACCGGTAAATACAACGAAAAATCACAAAATACATATCAAACCCAATAGTCCGTATAGCATTTGAACGTTGGTTAGATTTTGTAAAATAAAAAAGTTAGCAAAACCATGTTTGCAACGTTAAGTCAGAGATTACGCTATAAATAGGCCTACGTATTTTTATGGTTCTAAAATCGTTTTCAACACTAAATTGCAGTGTTATTCAACATTAATATAACAAAACTTCCCCTTTCTAATATTTTGAATTCCCCTGACCCCCACCTTAATATATGTTAAAGCTCTCTCCCCCAACCCTTCCCCCTCCGCATCGTCGGGGAGAAAAACTACAATTCGTCGAGGAGAAAAAATTAAAAGGCCTATATGTATTTTCTACTTATTAGTAGACTCTAAACTCGATTAAATAAGCCTTTGAAACCCCTAAATGTTAATATTTTTCGGCGACTTCGCCCTCTGGAATACTTTAAAGAGACTTTGAGCGACGCCCGACCACGCCCACTTTTTCGCTAAAACTTTATTATACATTAATACAATGTACAATTGTAAGCTGAGAGTATGGGGCACATTTTCCTCTTCTCTACATCGCCCATTTCTTTAAATTCATCCCTCTGCGCTTTCTTCTATAATTGTTCATCCATTTCCTTTGCTTAAAATTTCATTTTACCACAGCACACTTTCTCGCTCCTCCCTTTCTTTGCTGTTCCCTTCTATCTACACACTTGCCATTTGTGCAGCCTAGGCCTAAATTTAGTTTTTATCAGGGCCAACCAACCGGCTTGCTTATATATGCCTACCGGTACCCTGACCTTTTTGGTTTCTTTCCAAAAAACGTATACGATATAATTATGTAGGCCTACACCTCATTTTCCTTTAACCGGGCCCACATGTTTTTGCATCGCTACTTTTGTCCCTTTCTATCTAAAAACGTAAGGACTAGGCCCTAGTGTGAATATGAAGGATACGTTTGGTCCTCAAGTAACTCAGGAGAGTTTCTTCGTTGTCGACATTGGGATCAATAATCTATAAAATACGAGGAAAACTGGTAAATTAACTCAATCATTATAACAGAATGAAGTGCAAGTGAAACAATTCCACGAAAATAGGCGTACACCCTATAATTGTAATACCACAAAGCATAAAATCGGACTTTGTACACGATTTTGCAGTGGGTCAGTCTTAAGTTATTATTGTAGACCACAAGTACTAACTAGCTACAACTACTATTGGAAAGTAACGTCAAATGGTCAGCAATTGTCCAGTACTACACCAAAGCACTTTGGTTTGCAGAACAAATTTATTTCAGTGTAAAAAAACTATTAAGCCTAACAGTACAAACCTTCTTTCCGTTGCAGAAGAAATCAAAATTATCCATTATCATCTTTAACAAACAACAGATATTAATGTAGGCTACTACTACTAAGCTCGCTACTGGAATGTAATACCAAATGGTCAGCTATTGTCCAGTATTACACCAAAGTACTTTGGTTTGTAAAACATCAAATAGCCTATGCCACTATAATTTCAGTTGTAAAAACTATTAACAATACAGTACAGACCTTATTTCCGTTGCAAAAGAAAATAAAAGTATCCATTATTTCGGTTCATGTAGGTAATGAAACTTCTATTTTCTTCGAAAGATTTAATAATTATCTCTGGGCACTGTCTTCAAACCACGTACCAGGATCATCCCATCGTAATTATGCGAATCAGAGTTCCGGTACTTGGCGATATATAACGAGTTTTGCTAATCCACTCAGCAATGCGGATTGGTAGATTCATGGATATTACATCAACAAGTTCAGTTAAATTTCAAACGTTGTCAAAGCACATTAAATCATTGATTACATTACATTTTCAGTCGTTCTTAAAATATTGATTTTATACTATTTTTTTTTAAATTCACAAAAAAAATTAATACAAATACAAATGGCAACATAGATGATCGATTGATTGATCGATTGATGATTGAAACAAAACATACACATCGGGTGGCACAATAGGCACATCATTGTGTCCTTGGGCAAGGTAGTTTATCTACGGTTGCCTCTCTTCACCCAGGAGTACAAGTGGGTACCTGGTAGGTTCAAACACAGCCTGCGCTGATTACTAGCTGCAATATTATGGAATAATAATACTGTAATATAATTTAATTTAATAATTTAATTTGGTGTTCAATATGTGTTCCATATGTATTTGATCCAATGACCGGGGTAGTAATGTGAAGCGCTTAAAGGTTTTGTGCATAAAGCGCTATATAAGAACGACATATTATTATTACACTACAACCTCAGAATTTATAAAGTTACCTTATTACAGATTTCTCATTTCTTTTTTACAAATATTTGCATGTTTTGTATTTCAAACTTTATGGAAACGAACAAATTAATGCTGCAAAGACACTATTCTAAAAACACAATTTATTTTCAATTTCGTTAGCCGGGTATACTCTGTTTACAATGTACTGTACAGATAAGCATAGGCCTATATACATTCCTTAATACGTCACGTGTGTAATTATTTTCCACATGATTTAGTTTACAGGTAGGTCTGACTAGGAATTGTGTAACAATTTGGCCTGGAAACAGATAATAGATAAATTCTGCAATCCAGCTATTGAAGAACGACTTTCCTTTTATTCAAACCAAACATTTTAACACTTTACGTCCGCCTCTATTGAATCTAGCGGAATTAAAGTCGACAAGGACACGGGGATAAAGCCTTCTTAATCCACAACTACACTTGACGATCAAGGACAAAATATTAGTATGGTTGCCGCGGTCACTAACATGGTAATTGTAGGGCGTTTTCTCTTGCATAGCAACGATTTTTTTAACCATATTAGGAGGACACTGGTTTACAACACGACCCTGTAACAAATTAAAAGAATATGGCTAGGTCCCGGGCCACGTAACATTAATCGATGATTGTGGGGAGAGGTCATCAAATCAGAATTTGACCACTCGGTATCTCTGCCTCTGCACTCACACTCTGACACTATGTGGTCGTTTATTTACCGACTTACCGTTAACAATCATTCTTTAATTGCCCTGGATATTAACAGATACGTTAAATTTGGCCACACAAACACAACGTGTGTCTATCGTCTCTCTCTGTCAATCTTTCCAATGACACCTGTGCAGACGCCAACTTCCACCTCCCCAAACCCCACCCCCTTTTGTTCTCCCTATTGAGTTGAATGGCCGAGTGGTTAGCAGGGGCGCTGGTTCGAACGGCACGCTCTGTACATCATTCGAGACGAATAGGGAGATACCCAGGTGTACTGGTACAGACAGGCTTCCCTGTGGTGGACGACGAGAGTTGCTGTTACCGGGTTACCGGGTACCACAGACACGAAGGGACCCTTAGGGGCGAAGAAAGTCATTGATCGAGTTCCTAGTCCACATATCAAGAGCCCTAAGCATCGTATATCATGGATAGGGTGCTATATCAAACTACACTATTAACATTATTATTTTTATTATTACTACTAATATTATTATTAGTATTACTACTATTATTATTATTATTATTATATTAGTTACGATGATCACTTGTTCATTTGTTAGGAGCAGATTTTATTGTAGAGCAGAAATAAAAAAAAAAAAACAACATATAATCATAATTATTGTTAGGACTCAAAATTGTATTATAGCCTTTAAAAAAATACCAATTTGCATTGAAGAACACTCTTCTGTGGCCCGAATTTTATCTTTATAGTAATAAATTTCCAAAGCGCTAGAGACCAGGAAAGACTCGGTTCAAAAAGTTTTCTTTACTGGAATAGGTGGTTAAAATAGCAGTGTTTCTGTGACTTGATCTACTTATGCAACATTCAAAGGTATTGTTTACTATTATTGGGCTTCAAGTATTATATCAACATTGAGTGGAATAAATAAATGAGTGCTGAAGGGTCACAATGAACAAAAGTTTAAACCACAAAATAATCGTCTAGGCCAAATGACATTTGAAATTGTTAAGTTTATTTAGGATCAGTACTGTATACTTTAGTTGTTGGCCGTACACACTCTACCCAGATGAAATAATATGGGTATCTGGTAGGTTGAAACACCAACGCATTGAATACTGCTGCAATATTTATTGTATGTAACATAATGACCGGGGCAATAATGTGATAAACGCTTGGAGATCATTATTAATAATAGTATTAACAATAATTATTATTAATAATAATGTTGTTATTAACAATTAGGGCCCGAATTAGCTTCATCACTTGAATGAGGGCGACAAACAAACAAGTGTGTACTATAGAAACTCCATCAAAGTTAACATTCGTACAAACAGTATTTGCTAAAAGTGTCAAACAGGCATCGTTTTGAATGACAAGAATTAAGGCTATGAAGATTACCATAGTGAGACTAGATCCATTTCTGGATAATGGTCTGTTTAAGGTTGAGGGTCATTTCAGTAGAACGGCAATATAACAAGTTGCACAAAACACCCAATGATATTGCCAAAGAAGCATCACATATCTTAGGTGAAAATGCACAGATCCTTTTTAGACATTGTGGCAGTAAGCAACTTGTATATACAAGTGAGATACTGGGTATTGGTAATTAGGACTAGGCCGTAAGCCTACAATACAAGATTTTGTGAGCACAGGCATGTAAACGGAGCCACTTTTAACATTCAGGTTGCAGCCATGATAAGGGATCCACTCAGATTATAATTCTAGCCAAAGATTAGTTAATACATGTTTATTTCTATTTGATTTGTAATAAGAACGTCAGTATGGGCCTACATAGTGTAGCACGTATGTGAAACAACAACAGCACAATTATCATGTATTGTGATGCAAGGAGCTTGTAAGGTACTAAAAACTAAGAAATTTGTTATGTGCTTCTTCTCATCTTCAATGCGGAGTACTCTTACAATATGTTCTATATATGCCGATTTTTCCAGACTATATATTTAAAAATTATGTTTATGTTTACAAAGTTTCTTCCAGGCTTTGCATTTAGACACCTAAAGTGCTTGATGATGGCATGTCATCTTGATCTTTCTTATTTACACTGCATCCCAAACTAACTCTGTTCACCAAACTTATCCAAAAGAATGTGAAATTAGTTGCTTCCAATCAAATTAGAATCTCCAACAAAGCTCTCGTGGTTCAATTAGTTGAGTCGTCAGCATAGACAGCAGAAGGTTCTGATTTGGTATTTATTTATACACAGCTGCATTCAAAGGTCATTTTCAAGTACTTCTTCATCCACAATGTTGACCCCTGAAAGACAATTCCATACATAAACAATGTTCAATTTAGTATTAAGCCAGTTTTCCAGTAGGCGAATATATTTGTGCGAATCGAAGGCGTCGGTTCGGTCCTTGAGCTCTGATTGGTTGCGCAAATTTTTCGCTTCACAAAAAGTAGAAACAGTTCGAACTACCAATTTTGCTGAAGCGAAAACTCTGATAGAAATGTGAATGCGCATGAACGACGCTTTCGATTCGCTTGGTTCTCGCATGCGCAGGTGACTTTTAGTGATGTCATTATGTTCTACGTCGTACCCTCGTCGTGCAATCGAAAACTCCCTATCACTTGTACAATCGACCTTTCTGGACTGTCAGGCAAATTTCACAACTGACCAATCAAAACAGAGCCAGGAATATGCGCTTGTCCCAGATACATGCGTTGTCCCCAAATGCATGTTTGTGTATGTTTATGCCATCATTTTCTGGGACTTGGCAACAATATCCGGGAATGTGGCTGAGCAGAAAGGTCCATTGTTACTATATCATCATCAACAGATTCCTCTCTTTGAATGTGAATATTACATGCATATTACAATACATTTTACATTTACTGTAATTAAATACATTGTCCTTAATTTTTTCAAATTACATGCATATTACAATACATTTTTCATTTACTGATGATGACATAATTAATGTCGAAATATTGAATCCCAACACGATGGCGTGTATTTTACATTTACTGTAATTAAACACATTGTCCTTAATTTTTTCAAAATTAATGATTAAAAATATGTGATTAAATAACAGACATGCATAATAGTGGAATTTAATAGCCCAGGGCAGTTGTGGACGCTAGGACTTGTGTAGCCCAGGGCAGTGGTGGCGCTAAGATTTGTGTAGCCCAGGGCAGTGGCGTTGCTAGGATTTCTGTAGCCCAGGGTCGCAGTGGCGGCACTAGTATTTCTGTAGACCAAGGTAGTGGTGGTGCTAGAATTTGTGTAGCTCAGGGCAGTGGTGGTGTTAGGATTTGTGTAACTCAAGGCAGTGGTGGCGTTAGGATTTGTGGTCTTACAAAAGGTGTGACAACTTCTGGCAGGGTCCAGTGGCTAAGCCCCTGCTGCCTATATATATGTGGCTACCATAAAACTGTCTATGTGATAAAGGTAACTATAATTGTCCACTTAAGACTCATTGTTTTAGACCATAAATGGCAATCTGCCCAGGTTTCCAGACAACCATTCCCCAAGTGAAAACAATTGCATTTTTACAAGAAGACTCAAACCTTGTTTACATTCAGATATCTCCAAAGGCAGATGCCTGCGTATTACCTTCTATCAGCTTTGTGTATGATGCTTCCATTGTCTTCAATTCATGTATCCAGCTTAAAGTAAAAACACATTAAAACACATGTTAACAATAATTTAGTTTTGTAGTGTACATGGCCAAGGTTTTAAGTGATTCACATTATTTCTGTGGTCACTGGATCAAACACAAAATCAGCTTTTGAAGTATTTTACAATGTTGCAACATAGAAACTTGTTCCTTTAGTTAGACAAGACTTTTTTTCTTCACCTTGTTTTGCAAACTTACTTTTTTAAAGATCTTCAGAGGAGGGGTAAAAAAAATATTTAGCATATATAAATTTGCCAAAAATATCCAGAGGGCAGAGAAAATAAAAATAAAATTTTACTGGTTAACGTAAAAATGTAGTAATATGGGATGGTTAAATGGTTTAATTTATGTAATTCGGAAGAAATATACATACAGTATCTTATTTTTAGAGATTTCAAGGCAGTGACAGTTGTAATAAAAATTAAGAGAAAGAAAAACTTTAATTTTTTTCTGAAATTTCCGTTTTTTGTGGGCTAATTGGCCAAAAAATAATTTTTATTCGAAATAATCATTATTGACGGGCAGCAGTTTCACTAAACAAGGTATAAAAAAGTCTCGCCTTATCTGTGAATTGGCATTACATACATAAAAGGTCACAAGCTTACTGTAAGTACAGTATTATTATTATTATTATTATTCAGTCATCTTGTAAGTACAGTATATACTGTACTTACACAATTACTGTTGTATTTAGAATCATCAAGATAATACTGTAGTAGAAAATACAAATACAAAAGTAGCAAAAACCAAACATGTTTAATGCTTAATAGTCAAAATTAATAATAACAATAAAATCATGATTTTACTTTACCACATAAGGATAACTGGGATTATTAGTAGTATCGCCATAGTGATAAACACAAACCCTCCTTCAAGAATGTTAAGAGTGGCTGGGTACAAAGCGTTAAAGATGGCCGACGCCAGTGATACTGTTAGAGTCTCCAACGATGCCATGAATGCGAATAAGCTACCTAAAAGTTATCACAAAATTTATATTAATTCCTGAATAAATTAAAAGAATAATGATTGTTATCTGACTGTACTATACTATTATTATTATTATTAAAATTATCATTACTGTACTATATATTTATCAATCTGTTGATTTTAACTTTATTTTATTTTAATAATGTAATGAGTAAAATTGAATACCCTGTTCATTTTGGTCAACGATTTTGGACATCATAGATCGTGATGTTGCCGCAGGCACTGCAGAGGTCGACGCTAACAATGGAACTGAAATAAATTTGTTTAAAAACTCTTAATATTAGAAGAAAGCTAAATAACAAGTATGGTCAGCACTGTATTAGTTTTTGGACTAAATAAATGGCGCATGACAAATTGACATGGGATGGGTTGGGCAGGGAGAGAGGTTGGAAGCTACAGAAATTGTGTTCAGTGTTTAGGAAATTTTATAAGTATAAACAACATTCATAGTAACAATACTGTACATTATAAAATATTTTTTGTATTCATTTGATTATTATAGCATTATTATTATCATTTTTATAGAATTATTATTAATTTATTATTATTATAGAATACATCATCCTCGTCACCATTATTATTACTATGACCATATTGCTGATATTAAATCAAAATGCAAATGATGCTCCATTATAAGGCCCCTAAAATATTTTTGCACTCACTGGTTATTATTATATTTTTTATTATTGATAAAGAAATGGAAATGCATACCTAAAAAGACCATCCACGTGGTACGTGAAAATGCCAATAATGTATATGCACCCATACGCATGACGACACCGATGATTATGAGCACTGTGTCCTGGTAGCCGATACGAGAGGCATGGAGCAACGGCAGACAAAGCAACAACACAAAGCTTATAAGAAGATTCTTAACAGCAGAATAATAACCTATATCACAAAAAATTAAACAAATATAAACCACAAACATATCAAGAGATGCCATCCACAACAATCAATGGAGGAATCAAGGGGGCACAGTCGGGGCACAGTCGGCCCACCCCTCTACCTAAATTTTTCAAAATTACAAAAACAAATGGGAGAAAGAAGAAAATTATATTCAAATTCTGAGTCTGAGAGTGCTGTTTCCAGCCATCTAGATGTGCCATAATCATAACTTTTCTTATCTCAGCCACAACCATGGTGGGGCTGTGGTGGTCTAGACATCTGTGAAGCCCCTAACCGGTCCCCCTCTATTTCGAATCCCTCGAACTGTCACTGACAATCCCGCCAATCCAAGCACACAAGGAAACAGGGCCAATGAATGAAAATAATGAAGATAATAATGAAAATGTTTAAAAGAAATAATTCATAGAGTAAAAATCATTATTGTGCAAGTTATTAGAACATCCAAATGGAGAAGGTAATTGAGTTCAGATTTGACTTACTGATGAGTGTAGCTGACCATGCCAGTGGATCTTTCTTCACATACAGAATGAAAGTATCATTCTCTCCTGTAAGAAATAAAAGTAAAATAATTAATGAGCACCTAAAAAACGAATGTTAGAATGTTAATAATATTGATACTAATAAACATAATAATTATCATTATTACAAACAATATTATAATAACAATAATAGGTGGTTTCAATAATTTACTTTTTTTTTTTTTTTGGAAATATTGTAATTGTTTTTTTAAGTATATTTATACTTTGAAATCATATTTTTTGCGTAATTAATTTTTTAATTACCACAATGGAAATAATTTGACATTTGTTACATATTTGTATACTTTTATCCTTAAAATTTCATATTATCGTGTATGAATTTCAAATAAATGAAATAGTAATAATAATAATAACATTTATTAAAATAAAAATATAACAATATCAATAAATAACAATAAAAATAATGTAATAAAATAATATTAATAAGATTTATAACTGTGCAATGTGCTTCCAGAATTTGTATGACATTTAAACATTCATAATATTAATACCTGATCCAACCAACTGAAGTACAAAGAGACATATAATAAGCATTATCAACTGTGCTCTGTGCTCAAATGGACGCTTCCTCCCAATAACAACCAGCGATTCTTTCACATTGTCCAACTTCAATAGTTCTTGGCAAACATTTGTTCTTGATTGTTCTTCATCATTCTCTGACCTCTGATCACTGATTTCATCATGTGAGGCGGTAGCGTTATTCAAATATTTAATTCTTCCCAGATTTACGGAATCTTTAATGCAAATGAGTACGTATATAATAACACAAATATTACAGACTATGTAATAGATGAAAACGGCGGGAAATCCCAATTGATCGATGACGATTCCACAGGTGAGAAGTCCGAGGAAACTTCCGAGGAATGTCATTGCTTCAAGGATACTATACCGCATCGTCCTCGCTTCCTTTTTTGTCACATCACCTAGGTAACTAAAAACTGAGAATGTTAATGTGGCATACGCTCCACTGAGGCCTAAGCAGATTGTTCCGAGAAATAACCAGGCCACAGGGCTGTATATGAACCAGGATGAAAACGTAAGCACCAAGCCGTTTATTATTGCACCAACAGGAGGAGTTATCATTGTCATTTTTCTTCCGACTTTATCAGACCAACGTCCGAGAAACATTGAGGAGACCACCGTTGGAAATGCAAGGGCAATGTTGATGAGAATCAACCAATGGGAAGTCTGCTTTTGTACATAACTTTCTTCTGTATCATAGAAGCTAAGGTTCTGACAGATGACTGTATCGTTGTACTCTATCATACAGACTTTGTAGTATAGTAGTTGCTGAAGTGATGAGTACTGGAGAAATGAGCCTAGCATGAATAGAAACATAACTGGTTCGACTGTGATGGAGCTTAATACATTCACAATACGTCTTCTGAATGAGTCTAAATCCATTGTGGAAATATTCTTTCTTCAAACAAGATTACAAATACTTGGCAGACAATCTATCAGACCTAAAAAAAAATAAAAACAGTAACAATTCTAAATCAATGTAAGCAGAGTATCATTTTAAAATTTTATTTCTTAACTGATATTTTAATTTATGTTTTCTTCTTAAATTGAAAGGTCATCAATACAGCTAATGTTGACAGTATGCTGTGCACATGACAATAAGGTTTATTTGACTTAATTTGATTTGTGCAGTTTATATTATTTGTTGACTGTTCTCTTTGCTACTTCTACATTGATACTGGAGCAGATCCCAGTATACAGTTACTTGTACGCTAAGTAAGTAAGTAGCTTTCATTAAAAAATTTTCTTTGCCAATCTTTTGATAATTTGGTACTTTTGATAATTATTCCATGTTTGAATTACAGTCTTGGCAAATCCGAATACCAGATAGCCATAGAGGCTTTTTAAGCGCATAGAGGCTTTTTCGCATAATGCGCTATACAAATCCAACTATTATTATTATTATTATTAACAAGCACTTAGGCCTATATTTTAAAACTATTGAATTGCACACGTTTTATTCTAAATTCACTGTTTTTATCTCCAGTTGGAGTTTTGTATTTAAAAAAGCAAATTATATTTGTAATTGAATTATGCTTGTAATTGTATTTGTACAGTAGGTTCTAATTTACTATTTATATTTGTAAATGGGAGTAACTGTAATTGTAATTTTTATTCACCATAGATAATTAAATTATATTTACATATCTAGGTGCACAAATCATTGGTGTAGTAGTGTAAAAAACTATCAACAATACGACATCATATCAATTTTCCCCAATTCACCATTCGTTTAATGTTCAATAAACACCTACTTTCTTAAAGCGAGTGGAAAGAATAACAATTACGGATGATAAGATAAGATAAATCATTATTTTTATTATAAACATAGGTATGTTTAATTTTAAATTGTTAACCTAAAAATCAATTAAATACAATTTTATAAGGCTATGGGGGGGGGGGGGGGGGGGCAAGGCTTCTCCCCCACCCCATAACCAACCAGTGCTTTTCCCCTGGCTCCCAGGCAAAGCTTGAGCATTGGCTGAATCCACATTGTTAGCTCAAAATAGTAAATTTTCAAGTAATCCATACATAACCCACACAAGTTGTTGTTCGCATAAGTGGATCTTTTTCTGCTCGAACAACCTTCTGCTCGAAGTAAATTCCGGGCGTAATACCACACGAGTGTAGAAAATGGCTTGATAATAAATAAAAAGCACCTTTTGTAGTGATAGTTGTCCGAATTATGGTAAAAATTGATAATAATGCGTTGACATTGAGTATCTCTAACGCATTGACGTCTGCAGAAACACGTTCAACCATGATCTTTAAAATAGGCCTACCTTTAAAATTGTGAATAATAAAAGGGAAAAATTAATAGTATTTTTGTTAAAAATTACTACATTTATGTTATAAATAAATATACAAAATTGTACTATTTATTATTATCATTATGATTATCACATAATTATTATTATATTATAATGTAATATAGGCCTTATCTATTTAATTTTAAATTATGTAGGCTCCCCCACCCCATATTACAAAAATGGAAAATAATATTAAAAGGGAAAAATTAATAGTATTTGTTGTTAAAAATTACTACTTTATTATGTTATAAATAAATATACAAAATTGTACTATTTATTAATATTATTATCATTATGATATCACATAATTATTATTATATTATAATGATAGGCCTTATCTATTTAATTTTAAATTATGTAGGCCCCACCCCCCTATATTACAAAAATGGAAAATTTAAAAAATATATACAGTTCTTGCAAATAAGATTGAAATAAAGGTGGGTGTGACTCCCACAGCCTAGCTAGGCCCAGGCCTCACTCAGGATTCTCGGGTGTAGTCTAGGCCCTAGGGCCTAGCCTAGGCCTATATAATATATGTAGGCTAGGGCCTAGGCCCTCTTGAGTCTTAGAGGTGCTAGAAAAATAAAACCGTTTATTCGGGTTCAATTAAATGCTTTATCTCAATAAATAAAAGGTCATTTTCGGCCTACAAATGCTGAGATTTAAATTTAAAAAATACCAATTGAATTGAGCCTACCCTAGACTATTAGCCGAAAAGTTGCGAAGCAACCTCCTCTTCAGATACGCATGACACAGCCCATGTTTTTCTATGTATTAGGGGAATTCACCTCACTAGACTTGTCCCGTCGCGTGGTCGACCTAGCCAATCAGCATCGAAGATTGTGATGAAGTAGGCCTAGCCAATCACTTTTTATTACAGTACTAAAACCCGGCGGCCGTGCAAATAGCCTCTATAGATGACAGGGATCGGTAGCGAGGTAGGCCTAGTGAGAATCAAAACATTCATGCAAGTTGGCTGAAATCTCTTTAAGTCTTTATACCTAGGCCTATACAGATTTGTTGTTGATCATGTCAGATGAAAGGAAATATGCTGTTTTATCAAAAGAATCCATTAAACTTATTGCTGGAACTGTAGGCTTCGATAGTCTTCCCGATGATATCGCTACCGCTTTAGCCGAAGATGTAACCTATCGTTTGAGAGAAGCGGCTCAAGTATGTGTTTATCAACCGTTAAAGTGTCGAGTGCGTGACTCGGTGTGTGTGTGCCTAGGCCTAGCACTGTAGTCCTGCTGAAGAACAGCGCCGGATTGGTCCAAGCATTAAGGCCCCATAAAATAACGTTGAACTTGATCCAAAATTATTAGTTTATCATCCTATCTAAGTTGGAAAAGTGATGAGGGAGGGAGGAATTTTAATTTTATTGTTATTATTTTGCTAAAGCCAAATAATCACCCTTCAGTTGTTTGCTGGTGCATTAATATTCAAAGTAAAAATACATGATTGAGATAATACAAGCAATATTTAAATTTTAAAATAAACTATAAAAAAAAAAATGTTTCCAAAATGTTTTTTTTTTTTCTAATAATACTACAGAAGACATGCGGGTGGGGATGATAAACCTAATCATTTTTTTGTTTTATTGGGCCTATAGCGATTGAAAGCATGGGGTAGTAGCTGCAGATCATGAGTTCCTCCACAAAATGGCAATATGGTGACCCACGACCGTCCAAAAAGTTACTCATCCCCCAGTCGCCCCCCCCCAAATCATGGTCAAATAGTTAAAAATCACCTTATTCTGCGAATTTGCGCCCCTCAACTGATCATCGAGCTCCCCCCCCCCACATCAACTTTGTGCTACACCACTAGTTGTGGGATATATTGAATTTTTGTAATGGCCTGTTTTTGATGTATTTTGGCTTGGGCTGGTACTACTAGGTTCTAACTTCTTACTACCAGTACGGAATTATAATAAATTTGTTTAAATATTTATTTCAGTCAAGTGTGCAATTTATGAAGCATGCCAGGCGAAGAAAACTTACGTCTGAAGATTTTAATAGAGCGCTACGTTGGAGTGATCTTGAGGTAAAGCTGATCTGATAATAAATCTCTGTTCATAATTTATCTGCCTTTTTGGAAAAATTCTAACAGGCATTTTCCCCTGTTAAACTGTTAAACATTTTTTTAAACATAATGTTTTCTGGGAGTGGATAAATATTTACTTGTATGATACAGTAATTTTGTGGGAATATGGTAACCCTCAAAAAGTACTTGGTTGGTTACAGTTACTGGCCAGACTGTGCTGCCTTGTCTGATGCTAATTAATGGAATCTCTATCCAAAATTAATTATAATATTTTGTATATAATATTTATATGATCATAATATTTAAGAGATGAAATTGACCGATGGTGTATTACCAAATGTTGATGACACAGAGTGGATCAAATCAGTTCAGTTTTTGCTTAGAACTTAAACTCTGTCCCAAAAACTGTTGTATGCCCATATATAGTCATGATATATTTATACTGTATATGGTCATGATGTGCCCATATATAGTCATGATGTACTTATATATGGTCATGATGTGCCCATATATAGTGATGATGTACCTATATATAGTGATGATGTACCTATTAGTAAAATGTGGTCATGATATAAACAAGCACAAAAACTAGCAATGGAAAGAGGAAAATTGAAGAAAGAGAAAAATTGAAGAAGCTAATCAGTGATATAAGTGACCAGTATGGGTTGTAAAACCCGGTCTAATGACAACTGAAAAAGAAGAAATGAAGAAGAATATGGTCATGATGTGATGTCATCATGACCATTTAGGCATATGTCAGTCACATGTTTTTATCAAATGAAATTTGATGTTTATTACACAGACAGGCTGTTACAGTATCTTCACGTTTCAGTGTTTTTATCTTCACAGCCCATATGTGGAAGTAATTTGAAAGATTTCAGGTCATTTCGACACAGCAAAGAAGCAGAAGTATTTTTTATTGAAGACAAAGAAATAAGTTTAGCTGATGTATCATTGGATATCACACAGCATCAAAATAATGGAAAAAACTCTATTCAAGGTACAGTAATTGAACTTGATACAGATTCAGATTCATATTTATTCACACAATGCATAATGGTGGTAATAAGACAAAAATAATAAAGATGCAAACAAAGTCAAATGCAATTGTGTCTGGAGAAGTCAAGTAAGCCCAAATGGCTTTACGGCTGGCTCCACCAGAGAAAAAATGAAAAGTAATTTGTTCCAGGATCAAAGACAAGACATAACATGATGGAACAAACACAAGGGAACAACGACAAAAGGAAAAACGACAATTTTTTTTTTTGTAAAATCGACATATACATTGATTTGAACATTATAAAGGTAGACAAGGGAAAAGAAGATAAACAGGGATACAGTGTTGTGTTTTCAAATCGGATGATTATGTTGAAAGTAGCATAGTGGTAGTTGGTGTATGTGCACTAAACCATGGAGATCTGTGAATTCCTGGTTCAAATCCAAAACTGCTCTCTGTATGTTTCAACTGGAGGGCTAAAATGTAAATGTATACTGTTTTGGATATACCCTTACATTTTCTACCGGTATAAGAGAATGAGGAGCAGCTGTCACAATTAATCATGACATCAGTTAGAGAGACAGCTTAGTAGAGATGAGTTAGTAGATAGTAAAGTTGATTGCCTTTCTTGGTTTTTTCCTCACAGCTAAAAACAACCACTTCTTAAGCTCATGACGGAGCTCTCAATTTGTGATGACGTAGAATGTAGAAATTAATGACGTGTAAATTAAACTGCACATGTCTGAACAGTGTGCATAACGTTTTCTTCTGAAATCTGGAATGGTTGTCACCCGTATCTATGTTCAGAACAAGGATTGTACTGTATTGAATATCAGTGTTTCAATCCTTGCATCCGTGACATATCTGTGTACACGTCACAAAGAATCGAAATTGATATAAAATGTAGAATGCATGTGATGACAGTCACGGATGAGTGAATCTGTGCTGCGTTCCTTTTCTACATTCCCAATCGAAAGCTAATAAGCGTACACGGCCCATGTAGGAAAGCAGTAGCATTCTGAATCTACAAAACTCGTACCCCAGTCTTATTAATATATTAACAGCCATTTTATTCTAAATTTCTCTGTTATTTTACATTTTCCTGTTTTCTATACAGCACAATGGTTAGCTATTGAAGGTGTGAACCAGGGAAGCAACCCTTCCAAAACTTCATCAGGTGAATATTCCTTTCAGTTCATTATTTACTGTCATTTTGTCACAATAAATACTACCATTAACAAAAAGTTAGAAAAAAATTATTATTTAAAGCATTGGAGTATTTAAACTGAAACTTTAAAAACATTGCTGATATTATAATAACACAATAATCATTCTAATAAACCACTTTATCCATCTGTCTTAATCCACTTTACCAAATATCTTAATGTATATCTTATCTGAATGTTTTATGTTGGTTTGTAGTTACTTTGGGGCCGTCACTCTCTGACGAACATAGCGAATATTATGAACAAGTAACTTCAGCTTGTTTAGGCAAAGATGAAGCTGCAATCAAGGTAAATGTATCATTTGTATTAATAATTATCAGCAATATTCTTTTATGCACTTTTTGGGAGACTATACTATTATGGTATGTCATCAGTGTGTTATCAGTTTTCTTTATTATTTTGTATTAAAATCTCAAATGGAGCAGAGATTCAGGGAAGCTATTGTAGTTGTTTTCTTCATGTTGTTGCTGGTGGTGTGGTTGTGGTGTTGTTGTTGCTGGTGGTGTGTTTGTGGTGTTGTTGCTGCTGGTGGTGTGTTTGTGGTGTTGTTGCTGCTGGTGTAGTTGTGGTTTTGTTGCTGGTGGTGTGGTTGTGGTGTTGTTACTGGTGGTGTGGTTGTGGTGTTGTTGCTGGTGGTGGGGTTGTGGTGTGGTTGCTGTGTTGTTACTGGTGGTGTGGTGGAGGTGTTGTTGCCGGTATTGATGTTGTAATCAGTTCTGGTAGTAAAACAGTAGTGACTAATGAAGCGAAACCTTCAACGCCAATTGAAGCAAAAACTTCAACGCAAAATCTTTTACACCAATTTACATACACATGCTCTAATTCATATAAGTTCTCACAAAATGTATTATGTTCGCTCCGATGAGAATAGTGCTCTCAAAACATGTCTGCTACTGCTACACATTCGGGCTCACTATTAAGCCTGCGATCAGTTTCAGGATTAAAGACTTGTCTGTTTTATTAAATGCCTCATGGTGTTTTTACTTACAGCAGAATAAGATCACAATAAGAAGATAATAAGAGCCAATAGTGTTGGTACCAGATTATCCCAATTCATCATTTACATAATCAGTAAAATTATACTGTTGCTGCACTATGATACATATCCAATCCAATCTTTGACTTATAAGGCGCATTGTACAAGTCTCAATGCACCAATTTGAGGGATTGCTCGGGGATAAAAGGGAACTAAGAGAGAAAACGGTGTACAAGGGAAAAATCAGAAAAGAAAAGAGAGAATACAAGAAAACCAAAAAAAAAAAAAAACAGAACAGAAAGAAGACATTCATAGGAAGAAAGAAAAATCGAAGAGAGGTCATGCTTTTAATGTGAAAGATCTTTCTATTGTTTATTTTTCTAGGCTGCTTTGGCAGATCTTCGGAGTAACAGCAAGATTGGAGCACTGCTGCCCTTCCTGCTGAACTTTGTAACAAGTAACATTAATAAGGTCACCCACAACCTAAAGCAACTCAACAAACTGCTGCACATGGCCCAGTCACTAATCAACAATTCAAACCTCTTCCTTGGTCCTTACGTAAGTATTAATTGACCAGATATGTAAGACCTTTAAAATTGTCACCGTCTCATTATAAGGCCAATAAAAAATATTTATGCTGCCCAAGACCGACCGACCAACCCTGAAAATCTAGGACAAGTACTTTGTTACCAAGGAGCCCAAAAACATTGTATGATGTTTCAAATAAGTAATGTATATTATACAATGTAATATTTTTTTTGGCCTAATACAAAATAATATGGAGCAATGCCTACCCCTTCCTTGTTCGGTATGTTGGAAATTATCAATTACAAATCAACGGATTTGATTGGATTTCTTCAGTGTGATACACACCAAGGATAACCAATTTCCATTCCAGTGGGTTATTCCATTATTTCCAGTGGGGTCCTTCCTTTGATGAATTGGGCAATGTCTTCATTGTGCAGTACAGTACAGTACTGCTGTTTATCATTAGTCCATCACAGTGTGTACATAATTCTTATTGCTGATATCAGGTTTTCCAAATCAAATTTGAAGTTTTCTCCATTTTTTTTCTCAAGTTGAAAAATCTAGTATCTTCGTTGGTGCACTGTATCTTGGAACCGCTATCTGCCTCTGTAAACCCTGTCCATGATCACTGGTTACTTCGGGAATATGCTGTGTTGCTTCTTGGTCAGACATTAAGGTACTATTATAAAAACTATTGCTATGTAGCAACTACTTATCCTATGTGTATACAGGATAAAAAGTGATACCAATATCATTAAAATATCTGTAGTTCCTTTAAAAATATATTATAGATACAGAACGCAAATTAAATCTTATAATTGTATGGCAAACAGCTTTTTTTTTAAACTGCTTCTAGTAACTCTATATAACCTAATAAGCAAATGTTAATTTAAATAAAAATACTATTTAATAACAAACAATTGTTGTTTTTAGGTCACTAAAATCACATTCAGAGACCATCCATCAGCAGCTAGTGGAGACATTTGAGCAAGTGCTCACAGACCCACACAGGCCTCTCTGCTGCCATTATGGTGCTCTTATGGGGCTGGTGGTCTTAGGACCTCAGGTAATTAACACATTGTCAATTTCTATGTAGACAAGTGTAACCCAACAGTAAGCCTATTTGTTTGGCAAGACACTATGATTGCTTTTTTTTACACCCAGGGTCAGTTTTAATTAGCTACACACTAGGAATACTCCCAGGAACATTGATGAGTTGCACACATTGATGGGTCCAAGAAGCCTGACAGAAAGGTTTGAACCAAATACCTTTGGTTTGAACCAAATACCTCTGGTTTGAACCAAAATGCCTCTGGTTTGAACCAAATGCCTCAGGTTTGAACCAGATGCCTCAGGTTTGAACCAGATACCTTTGGTTTGAACCAGATACCTCTGGTTTGAACCAAATACCTCTGGTTTGAACCAAATACCTCTGGTTAAATTTGTAACTAATACTCTTGGTAGAAGTGAAGGGGGTGAGATTATATCACCAGGCTTCTAAACCAAAGTGTTTGGTAGGATCAGTAAAGTGTTGTCAGTAAAACAGGGGATCTCTCTCCCCCTTCCTGTTATTTTGTAGTTATAACTATCTCCACAATTTCATTAATATCTAATCAACATGTTCTGCTAGGCAATTGAATCAATATTGCTGCACAACATCTCAAGCTTGTTCATGATCATAGAGGAGGCCTCCACTTCCAATTATCAGAGCCAACTAGATGCTAGAAAAGTCCTCGGAGCTTTGCAGGTATGATTAGTATATTTTACAAATTATTTGTTTTTTACTTTCCACTTCAGGATGGAATAAATGATGTGATTCTCTATATACTAAGTCTAATATTGTATGCCTAAGGATTTAAATCATAAGGGATACAATACATTTATACCTTATAATAATATACAATAATCATTATCTTCTTAAAATTAAAGAAGCCCTTTTCATTGCTTGGGGAAATCCTTCACTTAACAAGCAACTCATTACAATATCACTCTTTCATTCTAACTCTTATATACATGACTTACCACAGTTTTCACCTTTAATTCGCATTACTTACATTAGTATTTGCTTGTTTGTCATACATTTGACCAATAGTATATAAACCGGTAGTAGCAAACAACTGCCTGATGATGACGTGTAACAAGTCAAAACATATCGTTAATTAGTATCATATATTTATTATTTTATTTCCCCTTTTTTTTAAGATGGCTGCCGAAGTGCTTTTGCATTCAAAACTTCAATCACAAGATAATGATGATGATTCACCTTGTCGGCTACCATCAGGTGGTTCCAGCTCCGGTCCAGAAGTGTTCGTAAAAAATGAGGTGTCCGACCATTTAACACCTATGGACTATAAAGATTTCTCAGTTTCTACTTGTGTAAATGATTTATACAAAACTTTATCAGACTATTTTGGTGAAAGCCTATCGACAAGAATAAACGCTTCTACAGCCTTACCGCTTTTGTTCACGCAAGAACTGCGGCCATTGGTATCAATGGAAAAATACAGACTTGACTTAGCTTCCAAGATGTTGAATCAAGATATTACGAAACATAAAGAAACAAAGCAAAGCAGTAGTAGAATACGCAGTTCAACAACCCATCGAGGAAGAAGTGTACATGATGTTTTTAATTACGCACAAAATGTGAAGGTTGAAAACATGAATATTGATTGTACAATAGCATTCAATGTGGATGGATTTAAACAACGACCTCCTCGTTTACTTAAACGAAGAAACGTTTCAAAAAGTCTGGAGATTCTTTCTTCAGAATCATCCAAATTTGCTATCTTGAACAAACATATGAAAGTATCTGGAAAAAGGCGAAGCTGGTCGTGGTGTAATAGCCGACCTAAAATTTCAGCAATGTGGTTTTGTGATATATGGTGATATGGATTCACTATACAATCTACGGTAGGAAACAAAATGGAAACCGAATGCAAAAACAGATAACAGAAAGCATGTGGCAGAAGTTATCATCATTAGCTAGCTCCCTGCATAGACAAATCCAATTAGAAAAGGGCGCTCTCTATCGGCACCATTGCTTGATGTCCCTGCATGCATGTCAAGTCCATGTATGGTGGTGCAAAGTATATTAGAGTAGATTTATGATGAAAACAAAACACTATATGTACTATAATTCTGATATTTACCTTTTGTAGCATATGATATGCAAGAATCCTCTACCATCTCTCCCAGCTATGGTATCTGCAGAGGAAGACTAATCTATGGATCAGTCTATACTGTAGGTATCTGCAGAGGAAGACTAATCTATGGATCAGTCTATACTGTATTTTTTGCCTCTGGCTTCTTCACGTCTAATTTTGGTCACATTGCTTGTAAGAAGGACAATTTACATTTGTTTCTGTCTCTGTCTATCAAATAGTATAAATATGTATTTGGCAGGATATGAATGACATTTGAATATACTTTTTGATCTGCCATAGTAAATAACCAGTCACCACAGACCAAGTGGTGGGTAGAAGGATTCTTAAATAAAACACATCATGGCATAACATCTGTATTATTGATTTCTTGTGTTACCAAGACCAATAAAATTAGTCGTAATGTTAGTAAATTGAAAGATACAAGCTAAACATATCCATTAGACAAAACCACAAGGATCGTAATTAGACAAAAAGCAGTAAATGTGATTACTTAGGTTTACTTACAGGTGGTGTACTGGACACAGGACTAATGTCATCTATGTTCCAGATCCAAACTTGTTGATCCTGGCATTCTCAATGCTTGATTTATGACCTAACTTAACTGGTTGATCCTTCTAGAATTTATCAAGTCTATTCTCGAACACTTAGAGAGAGGGAGGTGTTACAACTTTATTTGAAAGTGCATTTCAATTGTCTACAATGCGATAGACTGAATTAGCAACGAAAGATGACGTCATCACAATTTGGCCGATTGTGTATAAAATTGTAAACAAAGCCTAAAATTCCTATTCTATAATTTTGCGAGTTTTTGTATGGTCCAGGAAAACAAGAAAAAAAAAAGAAAGTACGTGGGTAAAATACTTTTTAAAACATTGGTAGGTTAAGGAAGGTGCATAGAACCATCAGAAGACGTTTGATTTGATTTTCATTAAGTTAAATATACGTAGAGTTTTTACAGGCTAGGCCTCGGCTCCTGACAACGCGACATGGCTGGATGTGGTGATTGAGTGAGGCCAGACTGTAAACGTTCAGCTCCGTGCTGTCGTTAAGTCTTTTACTTGTTTAAACATCCAGTCTGCCAAAGTTATTGGTGTGAATTTGGGAACATTATTCAATAATTTTGAATAACTTAGCTCTCCTTGAAATCTGCAAGTACAACACATTTCATGAGTTTTGCAACAAGTACATTCATTGACCGACGCCATGATTCACTGAGTGAATACACGGCTGCCGTCGTCATGCTGTATTACACAGGCAGACACGACCAATGTACGTTTTATTCCCAAAATAGTACGATTTATTCTTGTTATATTTCACATTTGGCAGACACAATCGTAGAGAAAAGATGACGTTACATTCATAAACATGTAACAATGGTTTTTGTAAATTTAAATCACGCTCAACTTTACACACAAAGCGTGTATGAGACGTTTTAATAAAGGCTATTTTCTTAAATTACTGTGTAAATCGCCTATCTTCGTGCGTTTGTTTTGGTTTGAATACCCACCATAGCAGAACAGCGTCAATCGCTAATTCGGTCTATTGCCAAAGGAAAACCTTAAATCCACACGAAAATGTTTTTTTAGCAAGTTAAAAGAATGCCCACAAGTTCTGTCCAATACATTCAATTGTAGAAAACTAGACACAGAACTATCATAATGATTACAGTAGAACCCCTATTAAGGGGACACCTTCAGGACCAAAAAAGTGTCCCCTTAATAAGGTGTCCCCTTAATAGGATACCCCTATTCAGGGACACTAACCAAAAATGTGAAATTGTCCCCTCAATAGGGGTTTTTGCCATGTTTTTGTATAATGATGACATATTCTTTATTATTTTATTTTAATTGACCTAAATGAGTTACAGTTTAATTTTATCTAATTTATAACTATAATTTGCAAAGCAAAAAATAATTCATTTAAGATATGAAATTAACAGATATGTAATTAAAACTGAAAAATTTGTGTATGTTCCCGATATTGTTTCTTTATTCGACTGAAATGTTAATGACCAAATATTCTTTTTTTTTTATTGGATGCACAAGATAGAATACAATAGGTGTTACCAACTTAGAAATCAGGGTTCAGGCTGTGTGGATAGATTAGAATCCTATATCAAAATACACAAAACAAGAAATCTCTATGGTTAATGGTCAAAATTGACAAGATTTTATTTATACGAAGTAACACATGCACTAAGCATCCAATGCCCATTCTAAGGATGGAGAAAATGTTGGTTTGATGTTAAGTTTATTGCTCAAAGGGTGTCAAAATATAAATTTGAATGATTTTTTTCTTATTTTGTGACTACTATAGTTGTTTTGATACAGTAAGAAAGTGTCCCCGTAATAGGGGTGAAATTGTAGGCCCTATGTTTTGACCATTTTGCACACTCAAAAAGTGTCCCTGTCCCCTTAATAGGGGTTGGCTGTAGTGTTGAAACATTATTGCCCCTCTTTTCACTGAAAAGTGTCCCCTTAATAGGGGTGTCCCAAAGGAGGGGTTCCTAGAAGTTCGTAGAACGAACATCGTTCGTTCTACTGTATTTAGAATTTTAAATAACTCTATCGTATTATATTGCCTCTATTGTCAAGTACAAGATGAAGTGACGTATAGTGTGGATGAATGATAGAAGCCTGACCCAGGAAAATAATGGAATGAAATCTTAGGATTGGAAAAAGAAAAAAAAAGAACGTAAAAAAAAAAAAAAACCAATGTACGTTTAGCCTTCCATTTAATGGGCCTCCAACTATACTAAAGATATGTTATGGCCATACAGCGGCAGCCTCGTCCTTGTCTTCCCTCTTCTCCTCACCTCCCACAACACATCGTTTGTAACCTCCGTTGATTGCGCAAAACGCATATTCCTAATCGTATTTTAAACGTACGGCCTCCAAATTCAAAGAAATACTGTAAGGAAGAAGCGTGTTTTCCTGGATCCAGAAATGACGTGAATTTGTCACTTCCTTAACAATTAAATTGTTCCGATGTGGAATTGGATATAGGCCTACTCGGGAAAGTAATTCAGGAATAATTTCCTTTGCAGACTTTGAGTCGAAGCATCGCTTGACCAAAACTGAAAGTGCATTAACAACATCACATTTGATATAAGACGTTCGAGAACTTCCTCAACAATTCAATCGTTAGGCTTATTTATTGCGAAACACAGATTGAAGCAATTAATTTTTTCCTAATCTACAAATTTTACAAAATCATTTATGTATAATAATACTCATCAGGTGTGGATCCAGGATTTTTCATGTGGTCATGGGCAGGGGGTGCAAAAATTACTTCAATCAAAAACATGTTGATAACCCACCTCAAATCCGCCCCTGATTATGAATGTAGGCCTAATTCAGAAAAAAAGAAATAACGTTTTATGTACAATTTTACCTGTAGCTAATATATAAAAATATTTGGTAAATGAATTTTATTCATCAACAACAATATCTCATTATCATCGCAATCGTTATAACAATCATCATCCTCCTCGTCGTTGTCGTCATCTTCATCGTTCGGGGATGTTCTTTTACTCCGTCGACAGAAGAAAAGCAAAATTCAAGATTCTGCATAATTTTATCGTCATGTTATATCGATAATTAGCAAACGGCATGACACCATCAGCCAATCACTATGTACAGGACATAATATTAATATCAAAACGGTTTTCCCGAAATGAAAACAATTTAATAATTGAAATTTTGTAAAATAACTATGCCACGAAATGGTGTTTGCCCTACCTGACGTGTTACAAATACTGAATGCTCAGTACATTCCAAAATGCTTGCGACTGAAATCTCGCAAGTGATTCGGGTGGGAATCGAACACACGACCTCCAGGTATCTAGCCTGATATCTTAAAGACGACGCCATCGGAATGGCATACAGGTCAGAAAGGCAAACATCATTTCGTATATTATTTCTCCTAACGCAAAAACGCCATTGGAATAATGACAATAATAGAAATTAATACAAATTCTGAATAATACATCCTTAAAATCCAACGATATTATGGGACAAATCATACCTGTAATTTCCTATACACGCATGGTAGTGGACCGAATACCGGTATAAAAAATTAATATTTCTAAAATGAAAGAATAATAGGCCTATTAGCTATAAATATTCATGTATCATGCAGTAAAAGAAACATGCGATATCTCAGTCATCATTCATTATTAATTTTCATTTAGGCCTACATACATTAAATTTAAAATGAAAAGTTATGAAATTCAACACTGAAAATTTTACATAAACGAGAGAACGTTTGTTCAGAATACCAATATTGAATCAAATTCATAGATACAATGTTTGACCATACGGAGTATCGTTATGTAATGCAAAAAAAAAAAAGGAAGAAACAAATGCAAATGTAGAAAAACAGTCAAGCCAGAGATATAGAGATTTATTGTAATTATTTCAAAGAGATACCATGCTGAAGACACTGACCAAGCCGGAGTTCCCCGGCAGAGGGCCCCGGGCCCCCGCTAGCGCGCGCCGCCCCTCTTGCATTTCACAGATAAAGGGTCCACCCACCTCGGCCCCGTCATGGTTGGGGCTTTATTCAGTGTTTTTTTTTATATTTTTAAAATATTTTAACCGTATTTAATGAGGGTGATCCATCCAGCAGAAGCTGATCATTAGGGACCCTCAACATGTGACGAAACAAATTACTGAAAACATCTTAACTACCAATTTAAATTAGAATATAAAATATAAAGCGTTAATACAAATATTAGCACTTAAAACTAAAATAACTAAAAATAGAATATGACAATTATTGCAACAGCCAAGAATTAAGTAAGAAATTAAATCACAAGATAAAAATAAATACGATAAAATAATATGACAAAATATATAAGATAGAATGAATCAATACAAAAAATAAGACCTGTCATTAACTTATGAATTCCTTTATCTGATTATCAACACTTTATCCCGTTTTGATAGTGTATGAGAATTTAAATCCAACCCTGCTCATGTACAGTAGGCCAGCTATTTATAACATAGGCCTATACGGTACTAATGAAAATAACAATTTGCATATATTGCGCAGGTTCTTGTACACTTGTGAAATTTACCATCATATCATTAATTAGGCATACTTTATGAATGTTGTATCACTATTTGTATTTTTGATTTTGCACTGCCATCCAGTGGGGAGTGCCGGAATTGAAATTGAGGGGCTCAGGGGAGAATAAGTTCCAGATGAACAAAATGCAATGATGGCGTCAGCTGCAGAGCCCGAAATGGCACTTTCAAAATTAAATTTGAATGCAATTTTCTTTTGCCCTATAATTTCAACAAAGGCCCCTATCATGAAGGAAAAATGGCGAGGTGGCCTACCAAAAGTGTTTCCATAATTATAAAGTTAGATTTTGTCAATGCTTGAGCGTATTTACGACGCTTGGGAGTTCACGGTGAATGGAAAGTTTTAACCACAACCGTTTCCGCAATACGCAGGCCTATTTTGTCATCAGCGTGTCGCGACAATTACGGAGTGCACGTGTCAGCTTACATGAAAGTCATGAAGATGTCGCATGCCATACAGCGTGTACATAAACATGTGGTCATGGGTATCCTACGCTTCGTTTTAAAACATGTACTTTCCTTTTTCAACTCTTCAACTCCATCTCTGGTCAATAACTGATAAAATTCTGAGGGCAGATCTACCTGTTTTCTTTTTGTCAGTCCCTTTTTGTGTTGCACAATTGAAATTAATCTCATTACATTCTAATTCCAATACATTCCATGTATTGGATTTTTTTCTGACATTTCGTGGAAAATGGATTGATAAGTTCTTCAAAGTATTTTTTTTTTGACAGACGAGCAATTGCAAAAATACTACAAAAGTTATGATAAGGTTATAAACATGTAGGTCTAATACCGTGGTGAACGAAAAAAAAATGGTGCAATTAACTTACTTATATTTAATAGTTACGCAACTACCGGGTGAACATACTCGGATAGATCATAAATAAATACTGTCTACTACATAAAATACCGTATGTAAAGTAAGCGACACCCGAAGCGACAGGCCTACAGTAAATAGATAAAATAGATAAAACCACCAACGCGCACGTTCTGTTTATCTTTTCATAATTAGACGGCTGGGCTCAAGGCTAGTACCCGGAAGCCTACTTTATCATTACAGGTCATTTGCTAACACATAAACACAACGACACTTTCGTCTGTCTTATCGAGACGTATTCACTTTTATTGCTAGCTATACAAAGGGAAAATACTTGGTTGCGTTGGTATCAAAAACACGTATTGGAAACATGCCTGCTCCAGACAAAAACCAAAAGTCGTTTAAGCAGAGAAAAACATTCAGTAAGTGGTTTAAGAGTTTGTTTTCACTGTTTTATCTTCAACGCGGCTGCTGTAGGTTACAGTTAGTATCGGGCTGATTGCTTTCAACGGCGTTTGCCTGTGTGGCCAGTGGTTCATTGAAGAATGACAAACTTTTTATATGTAAATTTGTATTCATCTTATATCTCACTGGCTTAACCGATAATTTTTCTTCTGTGGACAAGAATTAGCGATATTATAGGTATAGACTTAGCAGGTACAATGCAAAACTACTGCGATAATACGAACTACAATGAATACAGTTCTGCTGCTACAATTACTGATACTGTATTGTACCATGGAGGTATAATACCTCCATGATTGTACTGTTCCCCAAACTAGTCTAGATGTTGGACCTTTGCCTGACCTAGAGAAATCAACATTCAGAAGAGAGAATTATTCATACTTGTCGTGGGGTAGCCTAGAGCATTCTGCTTTGTGAAGGTTCTGGCATTGTTCAATTGACTAGAGTATAATCTTTCAATAGTCAATACTAACAAGCAAGTGCGAGAAGCCTATCATAACATAAACAGCATTTACTGCTTAGCCTCTTAGAGTACTGAAAACTTTTGTTTTCTAAACATTAAATACAGTATTTGGAATTGACTATCAAGTCATCCTAAAGAGAGGATGAAATGTTGGGCTCACTGTACTTTCTATGGCACTATGCCATGTACAAACAGCACCAATACTTACCTTTTTTATCTTCAACTGCATGTGTACACACATGGCAGTGCAAAATGAAAATGACAAGCAGCGAAGGTGTATGAATTTGCAATTTTGTTTTACATTAACCTATTTTCATCGTCAGTCTATGATGACGTATATACATTTTCAGCTATAAGTATTCATCGCATCGATTTATCTATAAACTAAGGAAAGATCTGCCCTAGAATAGTATTACTCTATCTTATGTTAATTTGTATGCAGCCAACTGGCTTTCCATTATATTTCTTCTTTTGCCAAGATTTTGAAACTGTTGTTGTCAATGGCAGATAGAGGGAAGTACAAAACCAGATCCAGAGGGCCATGGGACTAGCCCTCAAACTCTCAAAAAAAAAATAAATAAATAAGAGAGAAAAAAAAGAGAGTAGAAGAGAAGAGAAGGTAGAAAGAGGGGAGCTCAGTACTCCAAAACAAGATAATTTGCGATTTAAAGTCCATGTACAGTACTGGTGTCTATGATCAGGCTACAATCTGTCATTTTCTAAATGTTTTTTAATATCACAATAAATTTTGTAATTTTTTATGACTATATTTTTATGAGATACTCATAATTCATACCTATCATAAAAGACTTAAATTTTATAGGAAATCATCAGATCACAGTGTTATGAAATCATGGAATGCTTCTCATACAGTATCTACTGTTACAGAGAAAGTTTTCTAAATTTGAGTACTAAAAGTATTTTTAACACCGACAATCTTAATCATTAGCTTAATTTCACTCCATCTCTGGTAAATAACTGATCACTGTATTTTCTTCATTTAAGCACAACGAAAAGAAGAAGTTGCTGGTATAAGAGCTAAATTTCCGACCAAGATTCCTGTGAGTATAAAATACTTGATTCCCAATAGGTCTTAAGGATGACAAGTTTAGTCTTGTTTGTTCAAACAGCTGTTGATAATAATGTTGTATGTGTGACATTGGCTTGTCTGTCAAAGACAAGTTAATGTTCTTACCACATTGTGTATCCAATTCATCCAATTGTCCATAATTCATCAATCCATTCATGGGGGATGGGGAGGGGAATCGAGGGACAGCATAAATACAGAGGTGGGGGTCCACGGATGGACTTAGAATTCATATTCTTTATTAAACTGGTCCAATATAGTCTTTGTACATAAGTTTAATCGTCTGTTGTATGCTCCAAAGACGGTATAATGCGTAAAAAATAAAAAAATGGTAAACAGTTTTAAATCAAGTAGATGACTTTTAATCTTTGTGTGGAGCACCTCCTGCAAATGCTTGGATCCACCTTACAGAGTTTTATCTATTCATATAGTGTGTTATTTTTACATAGGATATATACAGTAGGCCTACTGTAGCACCAAAGACAGAGGTTGGTTTAAATTCAGGTTCTGGCAGTATAGCATTTACTTAGCATTAATAACTGTCGACAAACACTAAAATCTTTCAGTACTTGTAGTTAAGTACTTAACATAATCCAGCTCCTTATACTAAGCATTGGCTGTTGACTCTGAGGAGATTATCCGTCTTGTTTTTCGGTAACAGGAAAAAGGAGAGGTTCAGGCATAGTCCAAACCTAGTTAAATCGAAAAAGCATTAACTGCAAAATGTTGTATCTGTACTAATGAAAATCAATTCCAGATATTCACTGCTAATTTTTTTCCCTATCTCTGGAATAAATTTGTTATTCTTAATGTCTTTTTCATACTGTACGTTCTTATGACAAACATAATAAGGAAAACTACAAAGCCAATTCATTTGGAACTACTGTTAGTAGAATACAAGTACTGTAGCAGACACATAGGACAGCGATAAAAAAATTTCAAAATATTTTTGAAATTTATATGGGTATTACATATTTTGAGATTGATTGATTGTCAATTAAATATAGTTAGTATTTTTTGCAACCCACATAAAAGTGAGGTACTGTACATTTAAATTGCAAATGAAAGTCTAAAATCTGAACTACTGATATTAAATCCAGGATGCATTAACTACACACCAAACTATACTATCATGTGCATGATTTTTTTTTTCAGAAAAAGTAAAACTTTAACATTTTTACATAGACACAGAATCATGATAATACAGTGAAATCCAAAATGGCATTGAAAAATTGTTATTAGAAATTATTCAAGTTCCTGTAGGCAAATCGACTAGGCAAGTTTGACTGTATATCTGCGCGTAAGGCAGAATAACGCTCACACTAGAAAGGGGATGGTACTGGCCCAGTACTACTGTATGCCCGCTGTGGTAAACAGGGACCTGTTGCAAATTTCTTATTCCAAATTTAAAATTTAGAATACAGTTGACAAAAATGGAATAAAATAATGAAAAATATACAAGGTATAACATAAATCAAGCCCCAGTGAATATACAGCATTTTAGCTTCAATAGCATTGTAGGATACATGGGACCACAGTACAGTAATAATCTCTCCAAAGGTTGTGTATTTTTAAGTTCAATAGCTTTTCTTTCTGTATGATAATTAAACTGAACCATGAAAAGGTAGATATAATCTGTAAAACCTTTGACTGGGATCGAATCGTATAAAAACCTTGCATGATGTCAACGCCTATCAAATTTTTAGTGCTTTACTTTGCTGGCTTTTAGCAGCACCTCCCTAGTGTGAGGTCGATGCGTGTAATAAACTTTGTCCATGATTTAAAGGAAACTATCAGGTGGAATTCAAAGAGTGACTTTTATGATCTAGATTATCTATTTCTATTTGCCAAATCCATTTATCTATTTGATCAGTTCGGTACGTTTATCGCATAATAATAATAATAATAATAATAATAATAATAATAATAATAATAATAATAATGGACATTTATAAGGTGCCGGTATCCATATATAATAATTACATTATAAATATATGGTAATTTGTTGCAAATGCATATTTTGAATGATAATGAATCAGATTTTAACTATTAAAATGAGATTTAAAAAAAACATAGTCAATGCTATTGCAAATATTCTGCTATGTTTGCACATTCTCCAAACATGCAGACAATAAAATTGTTAGTTTCTCAATTCGTATTTTACATATGCAATTGCGGTGGCATATAATTTATTTGGCAAATTTAAAGTTCCATAATGGTTTGCCCAGATAGGTATGGACAAAATTTTAATGAATATCTGCTCCCTTTCCTTCATAAATATCGTAGTAACACATCATAGAGCAAACATTATTCAGACTACATATAGACATAAAATGCTTAATTAAATAATTTATGTTTAAATTTTCCCTGCTATCACTATTCATTGTAAACATTCTTTTATCTAAGAAGCCTTTAAGACCAAGTAGAAAAAAAAGTAGTTTCTCATCCTAATATTTTGAAAAAAAGGAGAATGATGGCACCTTTCTTTTTTTGTTTTACTCCGAGATGGCAAATCCAAGATGGTCGATGGGAAACAGCTACTACTTTCTCATTTTTACCAAGTAGACACATTGAAAATAAATAAAAGAAGCAATTAACATGATTCATAACATACCATATGTATCCCCAACCACAAACGATCGAGAGAGGATTTTTACTGATATGAGTTAAACAGATTTTTGTACATTTCGTAAAATATTGAAATAAAAAAAAAATTGGTGAGGCAGTAAAAATGGATGCCCAAGGGTACGAGAAACTAGTAATTTTTTTATATGGCCTAAAGAAGGGTTTGAATGACCATATTATAACCCCATGGAAAAACTGATGATAAGAAATGGCAGAATTATACAGCCAAGGTCAGCATGCAGCTAGAATCCCAGGGAGGCGGACCTTGACCAGAGTATCCTCATGGTCATTGCCTTTTAGATCCTGTAAACACCAACTCTGGGGTCAGTGTTGCAATCAAGCAAATAATAATTGAACTTTTGAAAGATGTTAATGTATTTTGAGGTTGAATGACTCATCTCCCAGGCGCAAGGTCCTCATTTCAATTAATTTTGTGAAATGTAGGACTTGGTTTTTTTTTTTTATGACTAAAAAAATAAATATTCTGCTGTAAAATTGAAGATAGGAATTCACCTAACACAATGCTCACAAGCCTCAAGTGATGGGTTAATAATATTCCCAAATGAAAAAAAATAGAAATAATCTACATTTATTATTATTGTTATTATGTTTAATAAAATATTATATATGTGTACCATAAAACCTCGAATTGTAGCCCAACGGGCTTAATCTCGAGTAGAAGCCATGCTCTTTAGTGTAGTTTTGCAAAATTAGCCTCAAAAAGAAGCCGATTTCAAGGTAGCATAGGCTTCTGTCTGAAAATGAAATAATACAGTACATACAATGCATATGAATTTCAAAATACAAAAAAAAACAAAACAAAATTTAAAACAAGATGGTTTATACAGTACTGTAGTTTAGGTGATTTAATACCAGTTAATACACTCCATGGTACAGATTGATGTTACAGTGGCCTTAATTATTGTTTTATAGTACAAATTCCCAAAATTTAAAGCATTAATTTTGAAAAGAAGCCCCCCCTTTACTTTCCAAAAATAGCCTCGAAAAGAAGCCCATCCAAAGTTCGCAAAAAAGAGAAGCCCAGGGCTTCAATTCGAGGTTTTACGGTATATAGTTTTTAAAAATTATTTATTATTTTCTATCAAACTTAATGTAACAAGTATTCTCTACTCATTAATTTGTAATATTATTTCATACAAATAATATTCCTCTCTTGATTTACTGTATCCTATGGTTAATGCTTTTGATCTAAAAATACTTTGCTGTTTAACTAATCAGTGATGTTTAAGAGACAGTTAATTCCTAAATATCGTGTACCAATATACCCTGTCCTAACAATAACAATAATTAGTCAATAACATGTTTTTTTTTTAAGAATAATAATAATGTCTCAGTTAACCAGTTCATTCAGTCAACTTTAAACCAGTCAGTGATTTTTAACCATGAATTTTAGACTTTTTACAACTGCGACATTTCAAATTATAAATGGCACTGAAATACCGTTATCGCTATCAATGGTATGATTTCATCCACAATGCAAACAACAGTGGGTCACACTTCTATTGTCGTAGTAGAAGTGATTGTTTTGATATGCTGTATGATTTCACTGTCAGATCAATATTTGGGGACTCTGTTATTGGCAATAGGTCACCATAGACCTATTCATTTAATGTTTATAAATATGTTTAATTACACAACAATATTCCTAATAATCATAAATTATATAACTGGTCGTTTATAACAAATAAATGATATTTTGAATGAATTAGAGACTACTTTCTTGATACTATATTAATCAGGGGCGGCGCCAGGAAATCCCCGACGAGGGGTCCAGCTCCCATGGGAGAAAATTTTGTTGATTATGGTATTTTTTTTATCGTGATAGTGTACAACACCTCGCACATACGGTAGCACTGCTCGCACTAAACAACTTTTAATCCCTAAAATTTGACAGCTTAATGCATATCTAAATTTTATTTTCGGCAGTCGAGATTTCATTTTTCCTGACGACCTTGCTGGAAATTGCCCGACGGGGGTACAGAGGTCCCCGATGAGGGGTCTTTTTTCCTCCTGGACCTCCCTGCTAGCACCACCCTTGATATGAATGTAGGTGATAATTACAGTGGTTTTACTCATATACTGTAAACTATTGCAGTTCTGCTTTTATTAATGGCCATGGGTTTGGTTAACTGCAAGTTTTGAAGATCAGTTGAGAATATCTCTGAGGATTTCTAAGGATTTCCATGAGGATTTCTCTATCTACATACAGAGGCAAGAAAACTGTACATATCAATATTTAATTTGTTTACTTTGGTACGTAGGAATGCCCAATACTCCTACGCGTGTTTTTCCCTCCTTGAGATCTTTATTACATTTCACCTTTGGAACCAAATTTATTGCAACATATTTCTTTAAATAGATGTATTGAACCATAAATTGAGTTAATTATTTTTGTTAATGAAGTAATAACATAGCATTGCTTGAGTTGATTACAATATTACAAGCTTCAGTGATGTCCAACATATTTCATCTTAGCACCCATGTAAAATAATGCTACTTAAATTAAAATTATTTTTCTATGATCACCTCAAAACAAGTTGAATATAAGTAGAGTAGCATGTCCATCGACTACAGATATTACTGTTTTAAAGAAAGTGTCGGTGAAACACATCAAAGGTAGCAAATACAAACAAAGGAAAAAGAGATGGAGCGGTCACATACTGCGTCACAAAAGTCTTCTGAAGGATGAAATAGAAGGTAGATTAGAAGGAAAAAAACCAAGAGCAAGAAAAAGAATGATGTTACTCGATGATATCCGGAATGGAAGAAGTTACGACGAATTGAAGAGGGATGCAGAGGACCAAGAATACTGGAATAGAACTTCTTGAGGGTCCTGCCTTCTGGCAGAACACTATTGAGGATGAAACCCTACCCAGAAACTGCAGTGTCTTGCTACAATCTGGATAATATGCTCATTTGGAAAAAAACTATACTATATAGGAATATAATAATTATAATATTTCTTTATTTGTCCTCATTGTAATTTGAAGTCGGCAACTTGGGCTGGGGACCCGGGGCATCCCCATCTGACTTAATTACAAGTATAACAGATACATACAAATGCAAACCTAGTCTTTATCCTGCCTAACTCTTAATATGATAGGAGGGTTTTATTCAAGGAGCCAAGCGATCAGGCTCCAATTAAAATTTGACACTGGCCAGGTTTGAACCTGGGTCAACAGCACAAGAAACAGGAACATTACAATACCTCTCTGCCAACCACTCAGCCCTAAAATATGGTATAGTAAATTGTACAACAGGCTACAACCATGAGCTACTGTATAGTAGGCCTACATACAAATAAAACCATACAGTATCTACAAACTGGAGCCCAAAAATAGCTTTTTACACAGCCTTCGATCTAATACTTCCCACACGTTCTGCTCCTGCATTTATCATTGGACTGATAATGTAAACATCAATACTGTACACTACATTATTTCATTTTTGTTTCATAAAACTAATTGATATGTTTCCATCAGACTCATTAAACTCTCGACACGTTGTATGCTTGCAATTTACTTGGGTGAATTATTCATTAATTATTTTTTAATTACTTTGTTGTTGGCTACGACGGTCATAATTTTAAATGTCATGTCCAAAAATAAGATCTCGTTTCATTCATTTGGAAGGCGTATTTTTGAAACCATATTCTAAATTACACTTAATACTGATTGCTTTATCAGTCCATCATCAGCAATGTTTTGTCATTTGTCATGTGATGCCAAAAGGTTTAGTTTTCTTGACAGTAGCAATTTTTTTTCTGCATTTAGTTCAGCAACGTACACTAGCATCAGTGCTTCTCATTTTAATAGCTCAGATCATTGTTTATAAATAAGTATGGACAAATTCATGAACTCTCTTGGGTGTTAATAGTGTAATAGAATACAGTGTATCTGGGTCCCAAACAACACATTACTGTACTCTAATAGGGAATAACAATTAGCAGCTTGTGATTTACTAGTTTATCTTACTGTGCAATACAAGCTATTAAAGAACAGCAGGAATATATTGGGATGAGTACAGTACATCATATAGATGGTAGTGGTTATTTCCTTTTATGTGGAGGTCCCTACAGTAGCAACGTCCTAAATTTAATGTTAACTTAATATTTTTTATTTCATTTTATATTACATGTTCGTTAAAAATTTGCAAATTTGATCACTAAAGATATTTTCTTAAATTTGATTTAATATTACATTTTCGTTTTGCTTCTTGTGTATACCAAATTTTGCTTGTGTTTACCAAATTTTTTTTTGTTTTTGTATATAATTTCTTATTTCAATGTTTTAACTATTAAATGGACCTTAAGGAAGAACAATGTAAAAGTTGATTAAGTATCCAGAATAAAGCCATATTAAATGTATAACTACAGTAATTTGTAAATAAAATATAGAAATATTTTCAGCATTTGGTAATACAGTACTGTACATACAAGGGCACTGTCCATAGGCAGTGTTGACTTTTGAGTGCTCTACAAAACTAGATCCTTTGTATTGTGTCTACAGTTTGTTGAGATTCTTTCTAAATCTCTTTCATTCATATTCATTGCCACATTAGCCATGGTTCAGTAACAAATTGACTACTGTAGTAAAATTCATCAAACCTTTTAAACTTGAGGAATGTCTAGTACAGTAAACAAACATGTGGAAAGAAATCCATTACAGAAAAAATGGTATTCAAAATATGGCATTTCAAATATGGATAAAAATTGGAAGTTTGTGCTAGTGACGGGCGGTCCATCAAGTCAGGACTGATCAATTGAGACTCACTATTGTGTAGGTCTTTGCTAGGCAAGACCTTTTATGCCTTGTTTAGCGAACCTCCCGACTGCAAATATTTATGATTTCGAATAAAAATGAAATTTTATTTTTTGCCAATTAGCACACCCTCTGCTACGAAAAAGTGGAAATTTCACAAAAAAATAAAAGTTTTTCTTTATTTTTAATACACCCTCCATTGCCTTGAAATCTCCAAAGATAAGATATGTATATTTCTTCATAATTATATAAATTTGAAGCATTTAAACATCCTACAGTATGTCTATTTTACATTCACCAATAAAATTTTATTTTTATTTTCTCCTCCCTCAGGATCATTTTGGCAAAACTATTTGCTAAATAAGAAAACAAAAAATTTTATTTTCATTTTTACTCCGCCCTCCGATAATATTTTTAGAAATAAGTATGCGAAAGGAGTAAAAAAAGTCTCACCTAAGCTACCAAAAGAACTTCAAAGTTTGAATATATCGCCAAGAATTCAATACAAAAATTGAAATGCTCATTCTTACAATGATCAAATATTTAACTTTCACTGATACTAATTAATTTATTTTGAAAATTAATAGAATTGATTACTCTACTGTAGCCAATAAGAAGGTCTACTGTATGCAAAGAATATTGGAAAGGTATTATTTTATGACAGTTGAACCCCTCCTTTGGGACATCCCTATTAAGGGGACACCCCAATAAATGGGACACCCCTATTAAAACAAAGGAAACAGTATATCTCTTAACACTATGGCCAACCCCTATTCAGGAGACATTCCTACAGTATGGTCCCAAACATGTCCCCATAGTAGATGTTCAACTGAATGAAGAAAATATGTTCTTGTTCTTCAATTAAAAGCTAAGAAGATTTAGTTTTAAGTTTAATGGCTCAACAAAGACTCTCTTTCAACTACTGTAATAATCGTATTTCTTTTTCCCAGGTTATAGTTGAACGATATTACAAAGAAGAACAGTTACCGCTTTTGGATAAAACTAAGTTTTTAGTTCCACAAGAATTAACAATGAGTCAATTTGTTACAATCATAAGGTATGTATTGTAAGCCTCACATTTAAATTCTTATCATTTAGATGTCTGTTAAATAATATTATACTGTACTGTATCTGAAAATATTGTAGAAATTATATTACAGTTTATCATAATAAGTCAAAAAAATGTTTGTTACTTAGCCTGACTGACTGGTACTTTACACTTAAAGAAAACTATAAGATCTGTTCCAAATTGAAAACCAAGAACATAATCCTTAATCTATCCATGAAAACCCCCAAACTAGTCATGGATGGACAATTAACTTTGTGGAATTTACCCTCCTTTTGTCATAAATAAAGATAGAAATAGGTTTTTAATGTTGTTACATCATGTGGTGCAAGTTTTGTGCTACTTATGAATTCCCATTACTTTGGTGGCAATTTATATAGCACATTTTAATGTTTGAAAGGACAAAATCAGCAATTTAGATTACTAAAATAGGTCTCAAAGTTAACATACAGTAGGTACAGTATGCTACTTTCCAGAAAAGTTGCCAATATTACCAGATTCTTAGTGAATGTCAACTTTCCACCCAAGCACAGTACAAGCGGGTACCAGCGGGTACCTAGTAGGTTTAAATGTGTTGATTTATTAGCCTACAACTTTCTAAAATAATCGCTAGAAATGTGTTCCGTAAGTTTGATCCTTTAACCTGTCCTGGGGAATAATGTAAGCTGCAGGGGCTTGGGATGGTGCATGCTACCTAACATGCTAACTTGCATACTATTTAATACTGTTGACATATATCTTATTGCAAATCAAGAAATAACCGAAAATCAATTCAACAGTGTATACCCAAACAGAATCTAGATAGTATTTATTGGTTTATAATACCTGTCTCTTATACACATCTAGATGTGTATAAGAGACAGGTTTCTGTGTGTGTGTGTGTGCGTGCGTGTGTGGACTGTTTAAAAGGTGTTAGGTCTGTCTCTTATACACATCTAGATGTGTATAAGTGTACAATACTATACTTAATGATCTCATCTCTCCATCTTTTATGCTGTCTTCCACTGTTCCTTTTGCCATCCATGGGTCTCCATTCTGTTACTGCTTTTGTCCATCTGTTAATAGCTGTTCCTAATCTAGAGCTATTATTTTTTCATTTTATTTTCAATGGAATATTCTGACTCACTATTTCAGAATCCTGATCATTTTTCCTCATAGGTGTCCTTCTACTATTTGAAATTTATAACTTAGGAATGTTTTTTTTTTAATTGTTTACAGAAATCGTATGCAACTAAACGCCACACAAGCATTTTATTTGATTGTAAATAACAAGAGCATTGCCAGTATGTCAACGACACTATCAGAGATTTACCGAGACGAGAAGGACGAGGACGGGTTTCTATATATGGTGTACGCATCACAGGAGATGTTTGGATAAGACCCGATGTCCAGTACAGGTGTTTATGCAAATAAGGGAAGAAGAACTTGATACACGAGGGGTGAAAGCATTTACAGTAGAATCATTAGACCACCTGGGATCCAGTTTATACCACAGAAACCAGTTTATCAACACTCCTCAATTACAGAATCGCTCAAGTTCATCGATGTGAAAAATTGATGGGATTGATTGTTTCAGTGACTGATGTTGACATGGCAACATCAGTTTATATGAATTTACCACTTGTTATATATTAAAGGTTATGAGGAACCTAATTTAAAGATTAAATTGTCACATTTACATACCCTCATTTCTTAAAATAGAAAACAACACGTTTAGTCGAATTCTATGCTAAAGTGTATGCCTTCAAATAAAAAGTAATAAAATGGATAATGTTTAAATCATGTGATACCTGATCAAATTTGTGTTGGTTTAAAAGTATTCTGTAAATTTTGATATTATCGATCAACTTTTTTATGTTGTCAGACTCCCTCAATCTAGTACTTTACATGAATATCCTAAGGAAAGATACCATTCAGATCTATCTTATAATATTTAATGATATTTATAGTTTATTCTACATTTAATCAGATTTCTTGTAAGTGCTGTATACCCATATATAGTCATGATGTGTCTATATATGGTCATATGATGTCATCATGACCATTTAATGACCAGCCTCCTATCAGCTTTCAGAATACTAGAGTGCTTGAAATATATCAATCCACACAAATTGAAGTGCAGCCATAGAGGGTTTACAAAGTGGCCACTAAAAATGCATACTGTATTCAAAGAGTTGATGTACAGTAGCAAGAGTAAAATTGGATGTTTAACTTCCAAATATTGAGCTTTTAGTCAAGTACTGATTTGCTTGCATTTTTGTTTTGAAGGAAGATTTGTGATTGGAGTTTGGAATATATACAATAATGATGCTGTTTCACAAATCCTGGCATGGTGATGCGTTTGTGTGAACTTGTTAGCCATTTTGTAGCATTAAATATTCAACTAGTCATTGCTGCCTTGCCTAGCTAGTGCTCTGGTGTTCTTTATAATATGGGTTTATCCAATATAATTCTCTATTCTAATGTCTTATATGCTCTACATATCATTACTGACTTATTTTTGAATTTCTAAATGGACGGCAATTTCCTCTGCTTATTCACTTGTTCAAATCCAAGGGTAAGGTTATTCAAAGCTTCTAGTAAATTTGAATGCATTATTAAGGTACAACGCAATTAGAATTCTCAATGACGAAACCTAACACTCAAGTTCTGAATTCACATTGCCATTGGGTTTAAGTATTAATATGAACCTTTTGGCAAAGAAATTTAAAAAAAAACCAAATGAAATCTTCGGATTCACAAATGTATCAAAATACGTCTTCGTATCATTCCTCCTCTACTGCAAATAAGTATAAGTCTGTAATCCTAATTGCGTAATAATCCTAAATAAATATATAAGATTCTAATGAAGTAAATTATTTCTCATTAATAAGTAGTACTGTAAAGTTAGCTGTAGTACTGTGGGTCCAAATCATTGGTAAAATTATATTGTACATAATATTTAAGTGTTTGTAATGGAATTATAACATGTGTTTACTACCATTGGGTCTGGTTCTAATGTTAGTGTATAGTTTCTGTGTGTGTGTGCGTGCGTGTGTGGACTGTTTGAAAGGTGTTAGGTTCTTTTTAGGATTGTATTGATTAAAGAATGTTAATTAAACGTTATACTTATTTATCCAGACAAACAAAAGGTCAATGTATTAACATATGTTTACTGGAAGAATAATTAATTTCTTATAACATGATTAATTGGGACTGTGGGCTGAAAGTCTGAAAATAAAAATAATTTATCGATCTAGAAGAATAAGGGCTGCCAAAATTAGCATAATAAATATGTTTGATTCAGCATTTGTCAACAATTCATGAGAGTTTAATACATAATTTTACTCTAAGGTGCATTCTTCACACCTTTCAGATTTATGGATGTGTGGAATGTCTTGGGGCATTTTCTATTCTCGGATAAACTGTGACAACATTCCATTTAATTGTGGCGCTATTCAGAGTTTATTTCTTCGCTTGAGAAGGTTAATGATATTAAAAATGTATCTGATTTTTATTTTCGCAAAAAGAAATAAGAGTGCTTTTAGTTCATTGTCTTCCATCCACATTGTATTTCTTGTAAAAGTTATTGTCCGAATTACTTTGTAAACGCATTTTGTACAATGTGGTAGTGCAGGGATGTGTAGGTATGGAGCTAGGGGAGGTTTTGCAATCTTAACGTGATAACAAATAATATGGATTCATCATTATTTTAGAATTTTTTAGATGATCCCTATTCATAATATACTGCACCAGGGTATTTGTTTTTTGACTAGAATCCAAATTAACTCGCTTTAAAAAAGTCAAATTTTGAAAGTCATATCTTGTGTTATACACTCTGGACCTACAGCCTAGGTAAGGTCGCCTACGGTGTAAGATCGCCTACTGTACAGTAGAAGATCGCCTACTGTACAGTAGAAGATCGCCTACAGTATATGCTCAATTTATGTATCAAAGGTTTTTTTTTACGAAATTCTTTACAGCAATGAAGAAAACAAAAGAGGTGGCATAGTTGTACAGCTTGACCCACAATATAAAGTTTTTTGAGGCAAATATGTGTAATTTGATGGTATGCATTCTGTCCCAGAGGTTAAGGTTGCAAAGCTTACCTAATTATTATATATCAAATTATTTAAAATACCAAAGTAGGCCTACATCCAAAATATTGTGATAACTGTTGAATGGCAAAGTATATTACTTTTTTGATTAATGGCTGGTCCTTGCCAGTGAGTTGTTGAAAAGTGTTGAGTGGGAAGTGGGTTGTGTATTATAATAATATATATTAAAACATTATTATTAAAAAAAGTAAGCGTGATTATTCATAACAATAGTATTCCAAGCTGCCATTATATGCGATACAGATTGATTGCATGCCTTTAAAAAAGAAGTGTAATTTTACAATAATGTCCATACAAGACCAATCAAGAAACAACAAATGAGATTTGATTTTTGGTACCAAAAGAAATGATTTAATATGGAATATTTTATCTGTATTATATATTTTTTTTCATTTCAGTAAGTCTTGTTTTTATACAGCAAACAAAATGGTCAAATTATTGTAAAGGATACCATAGTGCTGGTCTAACTATTGTACTGTGATTTTTGTAGTACATGTAACTAGTAAATTTGAATACAATAATGTTCCAGTCAGATATTACAATGTTAATTATTAACAACAAAGGCAATATGTTATTATTAGTCCAGTTGAATGCAATATTGTGCGACCACTTTTGTGACATATTGTAGTCCATTCTGCTCTGGTCTTGCTGGTAAACCCCATACATTAGTACTTGGAGCAGTGATTGTTGTACAAGGGAGAGTTACATTGTACTAGCGAAGTTTTTCAATACATATTCTATGGCAAACGAGTCAGTTTTTGAGCCAAACATACCAATACACTGTTCTATTCCTCCCTCCCGACCTAGGTATGTCTCAAATGTTGTAAAATGTTATCGTTTGTTACCAATGGCTAATTTTTGTAGTTCTTCATAATTTTGTAGTAGTCACTGGTTAAATAAGCCTAAAATTGGACATGAAGGGAAAAATTAATTATTTCCTATATATTTTCTTTATTTTATATTAACTGACTGACACAATCAGTGCTAAATGATTGCATAAGTACAATTATTCAACCAGTTATGTAATTTATTTTAACCATGGCCTTGACAAATATTAAAATATATTTATATCAAATTCAAATTCATTCAGCATATTTGATTGTATTTACTTTACTCCAATATTTCAACTATCCTTACATTTTGGTTGATACTGTAAAATAACATCATTCTTTTTTTAAATGAATGTAATTTTGTTGCATGTTTTTGTGGCAAGAAAGGATTGTGTATATTGGAGTGTATACACTTGTAATTAAAATATACTTTGACTACAAAACTCAAAAATGATATTATGAGTCATTTATTATTTGGTTTATATACATCTTTCACATTACTTTTTCCATCACCACATGGGGTGCAATTTTTCCTGTCGAACAAGCATGGATCCCATTGTCTGACTACACAAGGTTGTTGGATTGAAAATATTAATTAGCCAATCCAAAGTTAATTGCCAGTTAGGCAACAACAGACCTTCTTATGGCATAACAATAATACAAATCTGATACTGATAAAATTTTGTCTACATATATCTGGGACAGGGTTAAAGCTGTATGCTTTCAATTGAATGATGGGGTTTCAACCCTAGAGCTCTGTCCACACTTCAACAGAAAACTGTTAAATGCCCATAGTCATGATGTGCTCATTATAGTCATGATGTGCCTATATATAGTTATGGTGATATGTTGTCATAATGACCATAATTAGGCAGGTTTTTGTCAAATAAAATTTGATCAGTGTGGACAAGGCCTAAGGCTGACCACTTGTGTGTTCATGAGCTACTCTAGGCACTTGCATCAACATGTCTTTCCACCCAAGCACAGTACAAGCGGGTACCTAGTAGGTTTAAATGCCAATGTGTTGATTTATTAGCCTACAACTTTCTAAAATAATCGCTAGAAATGTGTTCCGTAGGTGTTTGATCCTTTAACCTGTCCTGAGGAATAATGTAAGCTGCAGGGGCTTGGGATGGTGCATGCTACCTAACATGCTAACTTGCATACTATTTAATACTGTTGACATATATCTTATTGCAAATCAAGAAATAAGCGAAAATCGATTCAACAGTGTATACCCAAACAGAATCTAGATAGTATTTATTGGTTTATAATACTGTACACTGTTGGTACAGTGTAAATTTTTGCTGTTGATTTGCCCTGTGCTTGCAATGTATCCTTTATATTTCGATTACACAATCAACCTTACAATACCATTGTATGGCCCGATATAGAATATCAATAAAATGACAACTTTTTAGCGACCAGATGTAAAGGATTGATTTGTGGAGCATTTTTAGGAACAATGTCAACAATAGACAAAG